CTCTCTCTCTTCATACTCAAGATGTAAATTTACAGACTTGAAGTTCTTTGGCTGTCATATCTGTTCCAATTTTTACAACAATCTACTTAACCTGGGATTAGAATTTACTTTTAGAGGGAGAGGGAGTTTCCTTTATCTTCTTAAGAAGGCCTAGAAAAACAAAAATGAGAATCAACTTTTATTGCCACTTAGGGTATATTTTTTTCTAGTTATAAGAAGAGAATGTATTGCAATTAGCTGCCCAATCAGAATCCCTGTGGAGGGTAAGAGGAGTGGATTAAAATTTTATCAAATTTTCAACTACAACTATAGGGTATTTCTGCTGCAAGCAGCCTCCAGAGATACATGCTGAATCTGATAAGATACCTTGGAAGGTTCTTTTCCAAATATTACTGTGTCCAGTTCTTCATTTCTACTGAGGTTGCAAGCTATGCTTTTAAACTTAATTTTGTCTTTTACTGCTATTTACACTTGGTTCCACCAAGTATGAATAAGTGACAAATACCTAAAAGACAGTTATCTGTTACTCAACTCCACAAGAAAATAATTTTGCCCTTCTGCAAGTAGTGAGAAATTACTATCCTTCCACCTTTCTAGTATGAGGTATTATGGTCATGGCAGTAAGGTATCTGAAATGATACCACAGTATCTCAGAGCTAGAAGAGACCTCAGAGGCCATCTAGACCAACCAGAGCCTGAACAAGAACACCCAAAGAAAAAGAACTGTTTAAAGAGTGGGTTGAAAAGAGGAAAAAAATCCAAGTGAAATGAAGTGTTTATTAGTCACCAATTCATTTCTTTGAGGATAATGGTACATGCCCATTTTTCATAATCGTAATATAATTGTTCTAAGTCCATCTTAGTGTGTTTATGAAATATATAAGATTTAATAAAAATTATCAACAACTATAAATCATAATTGTTTTTGCAATTTTCCATGCATGAGTTCAGATAATGTATTTAACTTGGCAAACAGGAAAAAAGTGAAGGTAATCAAAATTCAACACTACACTTATGTCTAGAAGATTTTTTGCTTTTTCCATATAATTCCCATTCATTAATGACTGTCATTGTTGATAAGAAATAAATATCAGAATTGAGAAAACAAAAAAAAGCTGAAGCGGGAAACACAAAACACTATGTGTGCATGTATGCAAATATTAAAATCAAGACTAGATTACAAAGATAGACAGATATAAAATGGCTGATTTAAGAGGCTCTAAGAAGTTATCCCTATTGACAAATATTGCCCCCAGAGGACAGCCAATTGTTGTAATTTTGCCATTAAAGATTTATTTTATTTAAAAGATTCTTTTCATCCTTTCCTCCTTCCCTTTCTTCCTCCTTCCATTTCTTCCTTCTTTCCTTCTTTCCCTCACTTTTCTTCCTTTCCTGTCCTCTTCTTCCTTCCTTCCTTCCTTCCTTCCTTCCTTCCTTCCTTCCTTCTTTCTTCCTTCTTTCTTTCTTCCTTCCTTTCTTCCTTTCTTTCTTTCTTCCCTCCTTTCTTTCTTTCTTTCTTTCTTTCTTTCTTTCTGTCTGTCTTTCTTTCTTTCTTTCCTTCTTTCTTTCTTCCTTTCTTTCTTTCTTTCTTTCTTTCTTTCTTTCTTTCCTTCTTTCTTTCTTCCTTTCTTTCTTTCTTCCTTCCTTCCTTCCTTCCTTCCTTCCTTCCTTCCTTCCTTCCTTCCTTCCTTCCTTCCTTCCTTCCTTCCTTCCTTCCTTTTCTCTATCCCAACTAGACTGGAAGTGTACTTCCAACTCATAGGCTTGATCCCAAGGATACTTTAACTCACTTCATTTTTCTTGCCTGGGCCAGTTTACCCCTCCTTACTTAGCCTATTGTCCCTCCACTGACCATATTGGTACTGGTCTCAGAGTGGATATTAGATTACTTTCGGCCTTACTAAATCTCAGAACTTCCAAACTTAAACAATCCATCAGCAATGAACTTCTGTCTTTGAATTCCTTTTATAAAAATAACCATATTATCCTGTCTTCTCTGCTCCTTTATTCTGTCTTTCTTCTCCTTTTTAAATTCTCCTTTAATGTAGGAGAATATAGAGCAGCCCTAGTTACTAAATGGGAGATAATTGAGAAAATCCAAGAAACTGCAACCTTAATTGTCAAAACAGTTTAAATTCAAACATGGAAAATTTCCTAAAGTACAAAGCACTTTACATGAAGTCAAGCAACTCATAGGATCTGGGAGAGACCAAATTGTTTTTGTTTGCCTGCTGACTACAATGCTGGTTGAGCACTGAGAAAAGAGCACTGGCCTCAGAATTGTGAGACCCAGGCTCTTGTCCTGCCTGCTATCAACTTCTTTAACTTCCTTTATCTAAGTCTCAGTTTCCTCCACTGGAAAATGAGGGGTTTGGATTACATGATCTCTCACGTGCCTTCAAGTTTTAATATTCTGTGACTGAAAGAAGAAGCACTATAAAAAGTAGGTAAATCAATGATAGATTTTAGCAAATGCTCACAAGGCCCTTTTATTTCATATACACATATAAAATCCTTTATTTTACATACATACATAGGGGTGGAGTTGGGAAGAATTTTGTGATGATCCCTTCATTGGGACAAAGAGAGCAAAGAGGGACAAAGAACAAAGATTTTAAGAGCATTTTTCAAAGTTCTTAGCCCATGTTTTAATCCCTGGAGAAATTAATCTTCTCAACTTTGGATTTCTCAGCCTGGGACTTGACAAGCAGACTTGATTGAAGATTGAATAAGCTGGGCAGCTATGTGGGACAGTGGGTAGATCAACAGCCTTGGAGTCAGGAAGATATCCTCCTGAGTTCAAATTTGATCTCAGATACTTACTAGCTGTGGGACCCTGGGCAAATCACTTAGCCCTGTTTACTTCAGTTTCCTCATCTGTAAAATGAGCTAGAGAAGGAAATGGCCAACTACTCCATTATCTTTGCCAAGAAAACCTTAAATGGCATCATGAAGAGTCAGACACAACCAAAACAACTGAACAACAACAAAACTTAGCCCATATATCTATCTACTTGGCCTCCATATCTTGCTTCATATAGCATGCAACCATCCAGCCATCTACCTGGACCATTTTACCATCTTCTTGAACTCTGCAGTCTTTTTTCTTCCCACCTGAACACATTTCCCCTGCATTGGACCTTGTAGTGCTATGCCATGTTCCCTGAGAAATTAATCTACTCAATTTTAGAACTCCTACACTGAAAGTCCTTAATTGGGTAGGAAATGGTGCTGAATGAGGGACAATTTACTGCAACCCCCCCTGCCTCCACTTTTCCATCTCTTTCTCTTAGCCAATAATCATCAAATGAATAGTACCATTTCTTCTGGAATGACTATGTCAATTCATTACACTATTGATCAACTCACCCTCTCTGTGACTCTATTGAACAAAATGCTCCCTGTGTAAATTGTGTCTCCCCCATTACAAGGTAAGCGCCATGAGGGCAGATTTCACTTTTTATATTTGTATTACCAGTGCTTAGTCAAGTCAAGAAGCACAATAAATACTTTTTCTTCCATCAATTAGCTTCAGGGATGGTTCAGACCAAAGAAGAAAAATCCCACTAAAAAGAAGCACTTCTTCCAAGTCAGCTTAACTTATGCCTGAAACCAAATATACCAGAACCTCAGAAGTACATATTACACACCTGTCATTGACTGTACCAACAAGTTTAATTTGACTTGCAATTTGCTTTGCTTTCCAAAACAAAGATCTATATAGATAAGGGATGGGAAAAAGGAAAGCGAGATTAACTGCATTGAACAAAGAGATCTAATAGCAAAATGACCTTGTGTAATGCCAGCAACTGAAATTGTTTCGAAAGCAAAATATTTTGGAACTGTGACTCTTCTGTCTTCCCAGATATGGCCAGAAATCCCATAAAATGTTCTGGAAATTCTAGATATTGCCTCCTGTTGATGGGGGTAAGACTCATGCAGAAGCCTGTAAATGTGTGGATCTATAATTCACATAATTAGAATAAAATCTTTGTTGGATCATGTGTCTGGACTTGGTGTTATCAATTATCATTAACAGTTGATTTTGTATTTTTACATTAAAACAAATTAGAGGATAAAACTTCTCCTAAAGCTTCTTCCAAGTCTCCAACATTTGGAAGGAATACAATCTCTATATTTTATGTTTTCTTTTCTTTTCTACCTTCTATCAAGATGAGGTGGAACCACATGGCATAAAAGAACTCAAATATTATTCTTCATTTGAGGAGATAGGAAAGGTAGAAAGCACAAAGACATTTTTGCAATAAAGTGGCAATGAAAAAAATCATCAGGAAAAATAAGATTGTATCTATGAAATTCTAATAGTTTATTGATTCTTTGTCTTCCATAACTTAACTCCAATCCCTCTCCATAGCCACAGATAAATAGGGGATATGAATGAGGGAAATCATGATGGTTCAGAAGGAAAGTGACCAGGATAGGTTTTGTTCCTTTATTGTAGTGAAATATGTCTATCCTAAAAAAACCCAACACTAGATTTTTCTGTTTCTATATTTACCTAGCTATGCAGCTGAGTGAATCAGTAGACAGAGCACTAGGCTTGGAGTCAAAAAGACCTGACTTCAGATCCAGCTTCAAGAATTTACTCACCTTGTGACAATAGACAAGTCACTTAAAATGAAAAATGAAGTGGTTGGAGTCAATGGCCAATAAGCTAACTCTATGATCCTGTGACTTTCACTGGAGTTGAACCTCTAGCAATAGGGGATCAAAAGAGATGACCGAACTCTTAAAATATGCGCAGAAGTGAAAGAAATGGAGTCCATTGTATGTCTTCCTTACTACTATTTCTTTAATATCAAACTTTTTTGGATGGATCCTCAATTGTCATGTTAAGATATTCATTTGATTGCTTTAGTACAATATATTTCTGATGTCATATAATCTTGTCCCCAGAGTTGTCCATGAAAGATCAGTGTAAAAGAGATACAGACTTCAATTAAGAAAAAAACAAAACACAATCACACATACTTACTTACTTTGGTAATACTAGTATCTGCACAATAAAGATGCCAAAGAAGATGAGGCAAGCACAAGTCACGTAATACTTGAATGCAGGTAATGTGGTTGCTCTGTACTAGAAAAAAAAATAGAAGTCATTAATAAGCTTCTTAAGGGAGAATGGCATATAAAAATCCATCAGCCTGATTTGTACTTAGAACATACATCACTGACTTGAAGAAGAGATAATGACAAAAATAAAGTAACTACAGTGTCAAGTAACACTAGTTATCTAATGTCTAACTCTGTCATGCCTTTTTCCTCCTTCTACACAAAGTAAAGGAGGCACGTCAGAGAGCCTTAATTCTTCTTTCTATAACTGTTCAAAGGCCTTCCTGCATGTCATTGAATTTCTCTTTGAAAGAGTAAAGAGCTGGCCTGAGAAAATGAAGAAGTTTTAGGGGACAATAAGTTAACTGCAAAGATCTGGGTCATCCCCAAAATGTCAAATTCTTTTGTGAATTTACTACTCAAAACCTGGCTATATAGACTTTGGTACACTGTCTAGGAAATAGATACATACAAAGAGGCAGCATGGTGTCATGGATAGCAGGCCAGGTTTGGAGGCAGGGGGAGCCAGGTTCAAGTCCTTCCCCTAACACGTAGTGTCTGTGTCACCCCGAAAAGTCATCAGATCTTTTGGTGAACCAGTCACTATAAGTTACAGAGCAATCTGTGTCACGGAGAAACTTTTTACATTGGAAGTTTCTCACACCAGTGAAATCACTCATTCAGAAAAAAGGAGATTAAAAAAAAAAGTTTGTCTCCAGGCACATCTTGATGCCGCTTAGTAGGTTTGATTCAATTAAGCAATGAGTTCCTTCTATGAGTAAGACATTGTTCTCTGTACTGGGGTAGCCAATATAGTTTAAGAAACAGAGATTCACTATGTACTTTGATTTGATGAATCTTCTGATCCTTAAAAAGTAAAATGGTCTATTTAACTTGTCCACAGCTCTGCCATTGCTCTTTGAATTCCAGTTAGTCTAGGCCTCCCACCAGGGTATTCATATTGCTTTTAACACAATCTGGAAGGGCATATTCACTAGTGCTGTTTATGCTGTGCAGCAGGGAATGAGAGTTAAAAGATTAAGAAAATATACGTGTAAGTTCTCTAGAGTAAAAAGGGTAAAAAATATCTTTGTGACACTTTCAATATCCACTGCGATTAGACTCTAACAGATACCTTACCATCTTACATCTCAAAAGATAATTTGCAACATTTATGTATTCCTTTTTCAACATTCTGGGTGGATGTGTATATATGCTTATGAAATTTATAAGGAGATATGAGAGTAATCAATTTGGAGAAGGGCTAATATAGCCTCCTCTCAATCTTTTTTGTGTCTTCATAATAATTGAGTTTTTATGAGGCTCAAATGAGGTAATGTATACAAAGTGATTTAAAAACTTTAAGAATCTTTATATGACTGCTTACTATTATTTTTAACCCCCATCATTATTAGCTCATATATCTGGCAAGAGTGCTTGGAAATAGAGTTAGAAAGAGACATTAAGATTTGAATCCTTCCCTGAGAACCTCCAAAGCTTCAGGATCTTAACTTGGTAGTACATATATAGGTATATATTAGCCAAGTGTTACTAGCACATTTTAATGAAAAAAGTCCTTGAAAGTCCAGTAGAATTTTTGTGCTAATAAAGGAGCTGCATTAGCATAATTATTTAAATATGATTAATCCACATACAAGAGACTGCACTTTTATCTGTTTAAATTCTTAAGTAGTTTGTGCAGAGATATCCATAGAAATTAACAGTAAAATGCTTGTTAAAATAATTTTTAAAATGTTACTGTCTACCAAGAAGGAAAAGAACTGTTAGACCCAACTTGGTCTAACCCAGTATCATCTTAAAAAAACAACACCTAATTATTCATATATATTACAATTGTTTTAGGGCTAATACTACTTAAGAAAAATGTAAATGAGGACACATGTACATAACAATACTTCTGTAAGTGATTAAAAGTCAAAACAAGGTGATCAGAAGAGTACAAGATGATTTTTCTGGCTACAAAGACATAAAAATATTTTCTTGCGAAAACACTTTGGCAGAGATGCTGACATTCCATACCAAATTTTAGCCAATGTCTGTGAGGTAGCAAAGATAATTATTTCAGGTAAATTTTCATTTTAATGCATGTTTTGCTAACTTGGAGCTTTGAATCATAGCTTTTGAACTTTTATAGAAACTTTGTGATTCAAAGCTGTAATTAAATGGCTTAAGGATGGAAATTTTGATTTCCTATTACTCCCTTTCCTAGGTCAACAAGAAACAAAAAGTATCAGGAGACAAAATGAAATAAAGTTCAAGGAGGAAAGGGAAGATTCCACCCCACCCCCCTGACCGACACACACCCTGCTCCTAATACTGGGCTAGCTATTGCAAGTATTCACAAGCACCTATGTTAAGTTTTAGCATAGAAAAATATAAAGAAAATTTCACCTGTTTATTTATGCTAAGTAAACTTTTCAATTTTGGGGTCACAATTAAAAATCGGTAAGACCCAATAAAGGTTAAAAATTTCCATTTTCTAAATCCTCTTAAGAAAGGGGCTGGATGTGAACTACATTTATTTTTTCCAAAACAGTGAATGTATTTTAAATCCAATGATATTTTCTTTTTTAAGCACACTACAGATGTATCACCAAGAAGCTGATGCTCTGTTTTAAAAAATTTTTCTAAGAAAATTTAAAAAAAACCCATATATTTGCCCTTAGCCCTTTAGCTTGACGCATGTATCTGAAACATCTGTTGCCAACATCATTTGCAAGATGTGCATGGAGTATAGAGTGGATTGTGGCATGCAAAGTAAAAGAAATCAGGTCTCCTATGGTAACAAAAATACATTCATGGGGGAATGAAAGGAAAAGCCAAGAACGATTCTGACATATTTAGCTGTAGTTTTAAGGCCACATGCAAATAACTTGAAAAGAAACCTCAGAAAGACTTAAAAATGACTTTAACATTTCAGAAAAAACATTTGGGTTTAAAGTGAAAATAGCTTACTTCTTTCTCTAGTGTTTTGTTATAGAAAAGCAGAGAAATTCTTTGAATATCTTCAGATTTGAGCCACTGCCTGTAAATAAAAAAGACAGACACATAATAAACAAAAATTACCATTAGAACATCTGGAAACATTATTTCTTTTTTAAAAGTATCAAATAATTCCATATTCCACCCCCCCAACATTAAAAAAAAGTTTTAAAATGATAAAATATGAGTAGGCCAGAAATAAAGAAAAAGACTGAATGGAATAAATATGGGATACTTTGGATGTAGAATCCAGAGTGTGTAATGAGGATCTGCCAATGTTATATTCTTATTTAAGTACTTACCAGCACATATCCTAGATAAGTATACATAAATATAAATGGCCAAAATTTGATAATTGTGGAGATGGAATGTTCATTGAAAATACTTGAATCACCACTTCTCATTCTCATTACTGATGCTTTATTGAAATTGCATAGAACTTCTCTCTCATGAAGGATATCTTTGGATCTTAGAGAGAGTACTCTCTATTGAATTTGCTCAGCCACACAATACTTCCCCAGTGCACTTATTACAGAACAACAAAGCTATGAGTCTACCAGTTAGCAGAAATAGCTTTCAGGTTTTGTTTCTATCTCCACAACACACCTCCTCACATTTGAATCTTTTTATTTACTTGCACAGATGCCACCTCAGTCCAGGACATTATTACCTCTTGACAAGATTATTGCAACAGCTTCCTAATTAATCTCCCTGCCTCAAGTTTCTCACTGCTCCAGGTCATCCAACACACTAATATGAAAGTGATTTTCCTAAGCCCAGATATGACCATGGCACTCCCCTATTCAATCAATTCCATTTGCTCTCTATTTCTAGGACAAAATATAAACTCTTCTGGTTAGCTTTTATATCCTTCATAATTTGGCCTCAAACTATAATTTCAGGCCCTATTAGACATTACATCCTCTCTTGTACTTTGAGATTCAGTCAAGTGGCCTTTCTATTCAATAAGTTAACATTCCATCATCAGTCTCTGTGACTTTTTGGTCCATGCCACAAGACTGGAATGCACTCCCTCCTTACTTTCTTCTCATAAAGTCCTTCTCTTTGTTTGCTAAGCTCTGGAGATGTAAAGAAAAACAAAAAAAAAACAAACCAAAAAAGAACCCCATAAAAACAAAACCCTGCTTTCAAGGAGCTCACAACCAATGAGGGAAACAACATGCAGATTACTATGTGCAAACATGATGTAGACAGGACAAATTGGAGATAACCAACCGAGGAAGGTACTAACATTAAGGGGGAATGGGAATTGCTTCTTACAGAAGATGAGACTTTAGGTGAGGCTTGAAAGAATCCAAGGGAGCTAAGAGATGGAGATGAGAAAGACAGTTTCAAACACTGGAGATAGTGAAGACACTGTGGTGGAGATGAAGGACCTCAAAGAGACCGGATTGATGAGAACATAGAGTGCATCGAGGGCAGTACATCGTAAAATCTGTACAGAGAGGAGGGGGCCATGTTATGAAGGGATTTAAAAGCAAAATGGAGAATTTCATATTTGATCCTAAAGAAAATAGCCATGGAGTTTAGGAAGATCTGGTTGATAGCTGTATGAAGGATAGACTGGATTGGGAAAGACTAGAGGCTGGGAGAACAAGCAGCAGGCTAGGGTGAAATGATCAGATTGATTCTGTATGTCTTTTAATTTATCTTATTTATAGTTCATGGATTTTGTCCTGTATCTATCTAAGTCATGGTTCTTTGTCTCTGAACTTAGTTCAGAATTCAGCTGACCTGGAATGAGTTAAGTTTAGAAATCAAGTTCAGTTATTAATCACTGTTCTGTTCTTATGTTGAAGAAGTCTGGATTATTATTCAAAGAACTCTGGTCCACTATGTCTAACCTTGCAGATGAACTCAAATGATGAACATTTCTTTGTCAGAGGAGGGAAGGAGGGGGTTGTTGCTAGAGTCCCAGGGGTGGGGAACCTGGAGCTTTGGGGCCACATGTGGCCTTCTCTAGATCCCTGGGTGGGGCCTTCTGATTGGGTACAAGTTTTACAGAACAAATCCTTTTATTAAGGGGATTTGTTCTATGAAGTTTGGATTCAGTCAAAGGGCCACACTTGAGGACCTAGAGGTCCACATATGGCCTTGAGGCCCCAAGTTCTCCACCCCTGTGATCTTCATTTCCAATTTTCGGCAATCCTACTTTTTCCCCACACCTTGGCTCTGTAATTAACCATATTGACTTTGCCATTTATGATGGTGAGCTCTTTTAACCAATCATGACTTGTTGCTCTGCCTACAAAGTCCTGTTCTTTGTTCTGTGCTCCTCAAAACTATAAAAGAAAGCTGTTCCCCTCATTTAGTGTCTTAGTTTTGCTGAGGAAGCTGAGATCTCATTTACTGGTAAATTACTGCTTTACTAAAAAATTGATGGTGCTTGCAACTTTGTGTCTCAGTTAACCTTAGTTTTAACTGTTACGAGGCCCTGCACCAGAGTGGTAAGCAACATCAGAGGAGAGAAGTGGTCATATAGGAGACATGCTTTGAAAAGAGAAGTCATAGGTCGAGGTAACATTAGATATGGAGAGTGTGTGTGAAAGAGAAATGATGAGCCGAGAATGACAACCAGATTGTGAGCCTGAGTGACTGGGGAGGATGGTAGTACATTGGACAGTTACAGGAAAGTTGGGGAGAGGAGACAGTTTGGGGGAAAGATGAATTTAGTTTTAGGCACATTTAGCTTAAGATGTCTCCAAGAAATTCAGCTCAAGATGTTCAGTAGGCAGTTGGTGATGTGAAACTGGAGCTCGGGAGAGAAGTTGGGGCTGAACAAATAAATGTAAGAATCATATTCATAGAGATAATAGTTGAATCCATGGAGCTGATGAAATCACCAGGTGAAAAAGTATAAAGCAGTGATGCCAAATTCAAACAGAAACAGAAGCCACTGAATTGTACATAAGGATCCTTGAAGGCTATATACTGACGTTGAAAATTACACACTAATACTATCTTTGTTTTATTGTATTTTTATTTTGTTAAATATTTCCCAATTAGTCATATATGTGTATATCTCTGTATAAAAATGCATATATATACATGCATTCATACATACATATATACTATATGTATATAGTACTAAGCCATCATCAAAGAAATTTGATAGAAAGATTTCTTTCCCCATTTGACCACTTCCCTTCTTATCTTATATGCATTAATGTTGTCTGTGTAGAAGTGTTTCTGTTTTAGGAAATGAAAACTTTCTACTTTATCTTTTATAATTACCTTGATTTCTTATTTAATTAAGAATAAATCTCTTGATCAAAAAGGACCTGTTTGTCCAAAAATACTTATATTAGCTCTTTTTGTGGTGGCAAAGAATTGGGAATTGAGGGGATGCCCATCAATTGGAGAATGGCTGAACAAGTTGTGATCTGATTGTAATGGAATACTATTGTGAAATAAGAAATGACAAGCATGCTGATTTCAGAAAAAAAAACTGGACTTACACGAACTGATGCAAAGTGATGTGAGCAGAACCAGAGAACACTGTATACAGTAACAGCAGTATTGTACAATGATCAACTGTGAATGACTTAGTTACTGTTAGCAATACAATGATCCAAGACAATTGCAAAAGAGTCATGAAAAATGCTATCCATACTATTTTTCACTCTCTTTATTTTTTTCTTGGTTTATTTTTTCTTTTGGTGTGTGTCTGTCACAACATGACTAATATAGAAACATGTCTTGCATAATTGCATATGTATAATCTATATCAAATTGTTTACCATCTGAGGGTGGGGAAGAGGAGAGAAGGAGGGAGAAAATTTGGAACTCAAAATTTAAAAAAAAGAATGTAAACATTATCTTTAGATGTAATTGGGAAAAATAAAATATCATTTAAAAACACATTTCTTACCCACTCTCTTTTTCTGCACTCCTTCCTTATCCATCTTCTCTTTCTGTTTACTCTACACCCTCTTCTCAGATTCATGACAGCTATAAGCATCTGGTTTCTGTAGTCTTTGTATAATTAAAGATTCCAAGGTATCCATTCTAGGCTCTCCCCTTTAGCCACTTTCTGCCACTGCCGTGTAAGATTTATCCCTTGGATTCTCCATTCCATTGTGCCTCAGTCTTGGAATAATCCCAATTACTGAAGGTGTCAGAGAGGAACACTTTCCTAGGGTAAAGCTCCACCCCCCCATATATACCTTCTCTTGTTGACATTTTTCCCCCTCATCTGCCCAGAAATCTTCTCCTTGTGTACATGCTGTCCCATTCCTCTAATTGCCAGTTGCCCCCAAGGGTTCCAATTCCCTCCCTCCCAGGACAAGTAGACTTTTCAAGCACCAATTCTCTCAAGTCACATCTAGTGTAAGGTCCTCATCTCCCTTCACACATAAAAGCATTCATCTTGGAATTCCTTTCCACTTCCAAAGTCAGTTCTCCTTCCTTTCCCCCACTTCTCAATATTTCCCCCTTCTCCTTACTCCCTCCTCTGTAGGCTCTTCTCTTTCTGAGACCACAGAGGTGACCTTCCTCTCACTACTAGCCCTAGATTTGGCCTGGGCATGTCACTCACTCCTCTCTATCTCTCTGTTCTCTTCTTCCCCTTTCATGTACCCTTTCAAATTTTAATGTAATCCCACAGAAGAAGCATTCACCTATAAGCAGAGTGTCACCAGATTCTGTCCATAATGCCTTCTGTTCAGCTCTTCACTGGTACCTTTACCATATTCCTGCCTTCACCCCTGTCTCCTTTTTTACATTAGGAGATCTCCTAACGGTCTATCTGTGGACACTTTGTTCCTGTTGCTGTCCTTGCTGGTTTCATTTATTCACTCCTCCTGCATTTCTATTATCTGGGTGTTTGATAAATTAATAATCTCTTCAGTTCTAGTTTTCTTTCTAAAAATGTTTCAAACTCTTTTTTTTTATTATTATTATTGAACCATTCATCTTTTATCCTGTATGGTTAAACTCATATTTGCAAGGATAGGTCAAATTGGTTTGCATCCTGAATTCCATTTCTTTTTGTAATCCATTATTCCATTTCCTTCTCCTTTT